TAAACCCGTCTCCAAACATGCTCGTCCGTTCACGTTATAATCTTACTGTCAATCTCCCTATCATTGGAAAAAAGAGTAGCCCAAGAGTATATCGCACAGATAGCCCTCGAATAGCTTTGCTCGAAATTCAACTAACAGATTGGAGAGGATAATAAAATGCGTTTTGAGAAGAAGTCGCTGGGTGAGATAATTACAGCTTTTCTCCAGTATATGACGTATCAACTGATATGATATATTAGGTCGTCAAAAAATTAATGTCGCTTTCTTTTAGATGAAAAAACCCGAATAACTTATATATCAAAACAAAATATTTATTAAATGAAATAGTCTCCATTCTTATCGATGAATGTTTTTACATCTTACAATCAGGTTGTTAATGCCCCGATTAAAGAAATCACTTGTCTTTGAAGCAAAAACCATGTCGACATCCTCTTTAACACTTTCCACATTTCTATACGTTTCCTCATTAAGATTATATTGCAGGGAATGGAAAAGATGGTAATCTGATGGTGCCATATCTGGAGTATGTGGTGGGTGGGGGAGAACTTCCCAACCCAACTCTATAATATTTTGTTGTGTCAAACTTGCCACACTGTGGACGTGCATTACTAAGGAGAAAAAGAACACATTTCCGATTGACGAGTGAAGGGCGTTTCTGATGAAGGGCTTGATTTAAACGTTCCAGTTGTTGACTATAGATCTCTGCATTGACAGTTCTGTGGATTGAGGAGTTCGAAATGAGTTACTCCTTTGATGTCCTACCAAATGCAAAGCATCACTTTCTGCGGATGAAGTCGGAAAGTAATGAGCCATTGTTTTTGGCGTTTAATATTCGCATAGAGAATCCATTTTTTTTATCACCGGTGACAATTCTGTCCAAAAATGGTTCACGCACATTACGCGCCAGAAGAGACGAAGCAACGTTCACCCGTTGGAAACGATGATCATCGGAGAGTTAGTGAGGCACCCAAACACTGAATAAACAAAATCAAAATCAACCGATTCTATCTATAAGATATAATAATATTTTTAATTTTGCAAATCATTATTTTTTTACAGTTTGTTATTTACCAATAATCCAATTTTTTCAGTAAAAATATGAAATGGCATTAAGATTATATTCGCAAAGAAAGTTATTACTATTATTAAAGTCTATATTGATCAAAACACAAATAACAAACAAATGGTTTTTAATATTTTCTTTAAGTCAACGATGTTGGATCTGTTTTCATTTGTTAAAAATATTTTCAATATAATCTAAAAATCTATATTAGACTAAGAAAGCGACTTTTTTTTTTGTTTTTGCTGATAAATTATAATTTGTCACCTAAAACTTCATTTTGCTCGTAATACTTTTACCAAATATTATGAAGGCTGTAATGCTAACTTCAGGGTGAACATGTATCAGTTTCTAATAATATTTATCATTGTCTGTAATAACCTTTCCATAAATTGTTGTAAACAAAGAATGGTCATTTAGTTGGGGAAGACAATAAAATTATTCAAGGCATGGAGCTTTTTTTTTTCCTTTGGTTGCTTTAGAGCAAAACCACATTGGGCTACCTTGTCCAGCGGATTTTAGCGTTGTAAGTCCTTGAACTTACCACTGGTCCTCCGGAAGGCCAAGGCATGGAGATTGCACATATAGATTACGTTTGAGCTACTTTCTCTCTGCTTATGTAAATTTTTACTGTCACCATGTCAAAATGTTTTTTTTATTCCTAGTCAGTAACATCTACCTCAGTTCTGTGATATTCCAAGCCCAAGAATACGATTACCTGATCTTCCTAATAAGAGTTTGTTTGTTTCTTGTTAAGCACAAAGCTACACAATGGGTTATCTGCGCTGTGTCCACTACTGATATCGAAATCCGGTTTTTAGCATTATAAGTCCGCAGACTTACTGCTGTGCCACTGGGGGACACAAAAAAAGAGATCCGAAGACATAGTATGTAACAGGACAGGTGCATGAATTGTTGCAGGTGAAAAATAAAGGCAAGAATCGGTGTGAAGATGAACAAAAACAAGCATTTCATTCACTGAGGGTAAAATAAGAATAATACACTGGGTTACCGCACCAATTGAAAGGATTATTGGATTGTAATAAGGTTAAAGTAAAGAAGATAAACCGTATTAAAGTGTAAAGTGACTGAAAAGAAACCGATTTTAACTAAAATACGAAAATGAACGTTACTCCCACAAGCCCCATTGGCTCAGCGGTAAACTTGAAGGCTTATAACGCTAAACACCAGGTTTCGAAACCGTGGAGGGCACACCACATATAGCCCGTTGTATAGCTTTTTGCTTAACGACAAAGCAAAGAAAGAATACTTGCACCAGCTAGCAATGGAGTGGATGAATGAAAAATAAACGTTCGTACACGATCAGCAGCGAAACGTTAACTAACTGAAGACAAGTACGGAACTTCACAATAATCCTTTCACTGTCAGAAATGAATCTGGTTGAAAATATCAAACTTCTCTCGCATTTTATGTTCTCTTTGCAGTTGATCAATCACAGAATTGGATCATACCTATCTGAAAGGATCTGTGCTTTTTTGACACTCGTACATAAATTCCGGTGCACGAGATTATGTAGGCCCCAATCCTATAATATTGTGGATAGCTTCCGTGACTGCATCCTGCTACAAAAAGTAACACCTGAGGCTGAATTGGCTCACGATTGCAACATAAT